GTCAGAAGCAGTTTGGGAATTGCTCTTGCAGAGGGCCATCGAACCTGTTCCCCATCCTTCCCATCCAAAAAAACTGGGGATTGGTGGTCAGTAATCGATTTATCTTGCCCCAATCTCTTTGTTTCACTACCCTGGTTCACCAGGTGTCTTTTCTCACCTTAAGATGGCCATTTTCTCTGGGTTTGTGGATGATCATAATGGATATCTCCAACGCTTATCACCATATACTGATATCACCTCTGTCTCATCCTTATCTTCTGTTTGCCAATCTTGGGGTGTTTTTCAGACTTGCCTCAGCACCTTACGTATTTTGCAGAGTAGTTTGAGCTTTTGATCGACATCTTCTTGCTCTGGGGCTGCGATTTCATTATTACATGAACAACTGGATCATTTCAAACAGGAATCTGTCAATCATACTTGGCAGCTTTTTTATGTGGTGGCTCAGATGGGCTGGTTGATCAAACTGGAAAAGTCCTTCCTCAGACGCACTCAATATATTGTCCATTTGGGGGTCTTTTCAACACTCATGTCAGTCGGGCCCAGCGATCTCCTTTATGACTTTGTTCAATGGAACTGTTGGTTTGCCATGCCCTCTCAGCTCAGCTACTTACTGCTCTTGAGGTTCTATCACTCTTGGGGATGTGGTCATCAATGACATCACTAGTCCCCCCTCGGTCATACTCATATGTGATACCTTCAGTGGGCGCTTCACAATTGATGGAACCTTGCTCAGGATCCTCTTTCCATCCCCATTACCATTCCTTTTTCCCTGCAAGACAATCTGCTTTGGTGGTTGAACAAAGCCCATAAGTTGGTAGGCATGCTGCTTCCTCCGCTGCATCCGGATCTACGTCTTTTCACAAACACTTCAAGGATTGTGGGAATTGGTCAATCACCAGGATGCTTGAGGCCATTGGTCTGTGGAAAAAAAGTGCTTTGCATATCAATGTTCTTAAATTTCTAACGGTACGTTGGGCATTGTATCATTTCCTTTTTTTGCCCAACATTGTATGGTTATGGTTCATTCAGACAGTTCTATGGTGGTGGCACATACCAACCATCAAGGGGGAACTAGGTCCAGAGATCTCTGTTTTTGGACACTGGATCTCTTATACTGGGCCCATGCACATCACATTCATCTTATTGTGTGTCGTGTGGCAGGTGCTTTTAATCTGGTCATGGATCGTCTTTCATGCCCCGACCAGATATTTCCCATAGAGCGGTCATTAGATTCCCTCATTTTCAGAGATCTCTGCCATCGGCGGGATTCTCCCCACGTGGATGCCTTTGTTGTTGGCCTCATCAACTAGTTACCTCTCTTTTGGTCACCTGTATCTCATCCCCAGGCTCTGGTAGTTGATGCCTTCAGCCAGGATTGGATACACAAGTATCTTTATGTGTACCCACCCATCCGATTACTTCAATGGGTGATTTCTCTCATCAATTCCAATCCTTGTTGGTCCTCCTGATTGCTTCTTATTGGCCAGCTCAGCCTTGGTTTCCACAATTACAGCAACTGCTCCTCTTCCACTTTCTCCCTACCTTCTTAGTCTACTTCAGTCATATGTCCTGCATCTTCACGCCAGGCTTTTTTCCAGTCATTGGCAAGAAGATCCAGTTTCATATGTCGAGTCACTTCCTTGTTAGCTGGTTTCATCCATCCATCTTCCATAGAGGTGTACCAACACAAGTGGAAGGTATTCTGTCATTGGTCTACTACTAGGGGTTTCCCGCTGACCGGCCTACTGTGGCTTGTGTGGCAGAATTTTTCACCTGGCTCTTTGTTCCAGGTGTCCTCCCATCAGATCTGACACCTCATTTTTTGCTTTTTTTCTCATCTTCATCGTCCAGTGGAGGAGATTCTGCAGTCTGGCATATGGACCACACCTAGTACGTTCATCTCCCACTATCTCTTTCATATCATGGTTTACTCTTCCTCGGGGTTTTGTCTACCACCTGTTTCCATTCTTCAGACTTCATTGCGACTCTAACTGGTAAGTTTTTATTTATACTTTCTTTTCAGAGGCTTTCTCTATTTCTTTATCCCATGGATCGTGCTCTGTGGTGAGTGGTGCCTGACCAGGTATTCTTTAACTCGAAATCTGTACTGTCCAGTCATTTTGACTCGCACTTTATCTTACATGGCTTCACACACTTACTGTTGAGATGGAGTGTTTCACAAGATTGCTTGTAAGTGCATGATTTTGTGATATTTTGCTTCATAAACATGCCCATCCCAGACCATACCACCCATCGACTGCATGGGTAAAGCAGAAGGGGATTGCTGCCCATCCCTGCCATGCCTGGAGTTAATAACTTGGTATGGTCTGCTTTTCGAAATAAGGTTTCGTAGTCGCCCATTGCACTGTCTAAGGTGATGACATTTCTCCGGACTCTCCACCACATTGTCACCCTCGTTTCTTTGAGTGGAGTATGGGGGTCCTTGCCACTTTCCAGTTTCAAGCCACTAGGGTGGTTGACCATGGAGGCACCCTGCTGAATGAGTTCCACACAATGATTCAGTAACAGATTGGGGCACTGGTGTTCTGCAGGTATAGATGATGTGATATCTTCCTATTTGCAAATAACCAATGACAACGGAGTGAGACATCAGAAGGCAGTTCACTCCTTCAATTGGAAGCCCTCTTACTACCATCTCATGAATGTCAATACCCAGCAGGCATGTTTTTGATCTAGGGTGAACTGTTCAACATACATCCTCACAGGTTTCAGGTTGTCTATATCCTACCTTGATTTCCTCCATCTCTGTTGTGGGTCACAGCGGTGGTACATGAGATTGTTCCATTCCTGTCCTAGGTTATCCCTCATTGTGTCTTTTATCAGAATGTTATTGCCATTTGGATGGCCCTGGCCTATTTCACAGTTTGGGGATTGATTGCATGCAATAAACATCCTTTTGATACCTTATGTCAAGTTCCCAGATCAATAGATCAGTACTAATCCTCGTTTTATACCCAGGAATTGGAGTGGTTCTCAATCCCCCAGTTCTTGGGTTTGAGATGAGGATAGTATCATCCTCATCCTTCCTTCATGTGGATAATGGTACCTCACAGGCATGTTTTGGATGTAGTTGACTTCCCTAGTAGTCCACTGCACCCTAGCTACTCTACACCTAGGGGCACATTTTTTGTTTACCCATCTTTCTCATTGTGGGATTGAGTTACAATATATTTCTATGGTTAGGATCACTTTCCTGCCACATTCTCTCCCACTTGAATGTGCTCATCTCATTTTCTGCCCTTATATCTTACATATTCCTCAGTTAGGTGAAGAGTATACCTCGTCCAGTTTCAGTGATTGTGCCTCATTACAGTGGTCTACGCACACACACATGTATCAGAATTATCCCCCTCCCTTCTGTTCTTATAGTGAAGCACATCCTATCTTCAACAGTCTCACGCAGCTGTGGAAGTTCATACAGATAGTTTACTTTGTAAGGTGGTGCCTTCCCTCCAGTAAGAGACTGGTTTGCCCCTTAATTTAAGATGTAGGGCTAGTGTTACCTGGAAGTGTAGAGTACAGGACGCCCATTTTTAATATTTATCAAACAATTCATGGTAAATATGTCCAGACAGATGAAAATTGGATTTGCCTTGGAATATTGGTAAGGTCTCATTCTATCTGTCATTATAGCATCTATCTTATGTAAGTATATGACTGATTGGTTTGGCCTAAAGCCCTAATTACACCAATCATTTGATCAAAGCTGGACTATGAATCTCTGGTCTGTGGTTCAGCCGAGGACTATGCCTTCAAGTTGTTGGACCTTATAAATCATCAGTAGTTTCATTCTACATGAGGGCTTTTTGCATTTTTCTGGTCCAGAGTTTTTACACTGAGTCCTATGAGCTTCCACTTTACATCAGATGTTTGCAACTTTCTTTACAGTATACTGCAAAGCTTCAGTCTTTACCACAGCATCCTACCTGACATTGTGTTTTTATACCTCAGTATAGTTTTATATTTTTTGCAAATAGATAATCTCTATTCTTATCATTGGCCTTAATATCCCGGAATGAACTTGCTGACACCTCAATAAAGTCATCTGATCTTGCAATGTCACAGCCTTATCTGTCCCTTATGTTGACTTCAGGACTGTCATTAAAGCAAGGCTTCACACTAGCTGGTAGTTAATTTAGAGTGAGCAAAATCACAAGAAGCTTGTCCAGATAAAGACTTCTCTGGCTGTTTGGCCATCTAGTTTTCATAGGAATTGGAAGGAGGAAGTTCTCTTGAAAAGGCTGCACATTGGCCAATTTCATTACTCATTGATTTCTTTTACAGGGACTGATTTGCCATTATATGGCCTTTATGACACTCAGTTAACAATTGCCCACACTCTGCTTTCATTCTAACTGTAAGAATACCAGCAAAAGCACCATCTTAGACATATTTTATCTCAAAGTTTGCCTTTGATAGGGTGACATTGTTGACACTGTCCTGATTGATCGTGTTTTAGGATTTCTACTGGTTATAGTTTTTTCAACCTGATTTGATAAAAAAAAAATGAAGACTTTTTTGTGATGTATTTGCTTTTGTACTTTTTTTACATATTTTTTTCTCACTCTTAAATATCCAATGTTTTTGGTAGGATATCTATATAAAGTACTCTTTTTTTCTTTCTAGAATGTAACATGAAACTACATTTGTTTATCCTAAGTAGCTCTAAGTTCATAACAGTATACATCTATTTATAATTAAATTTTATTGTTTTATTGAACCATGTCTAACTACTATCCGCACCATTATAAGTTGTAAATCACTAGGGAAACGTGCAGCTCAAGTTATGATATCGAATTACATTACCCACGAGCTGCTTGCATGCGTGCCTCGTGAACCATTTTAATTATATTATTATTATTACTTATTTTACCTAATCTAGTCTTAAATTACTTAAAAAGATCTGTATTTTTATATTTTAGTTACTTTTATAATAATAAATAAAGAATAAATATGAAAAAAATACTTACTCAATCTTATTTTTTCTTGCTCTAGGGTTTTCAAAGAGAGTTAAGCTTAATTCTTTATACTATAGATAGTATTGCACCTAATATTTTTATTTGATTAAATTATGCACCAAAGAATAAAGACTAATAACATGCAAAAGGTAGACAAATTCACTTACCTCTCAAACATTTCCTGGCTTTCTAACTGTGCAACAAGAGCCGTTACAAATTCGTCCAAGCTAGTTATTAACTTTCCCATGAGAACGAATCTTGTATTGTGGGTGAAATT